TATCCAAATTTCCAAATACTAGTTTTTTCTAGTATTTGGGCCAAATCTCATTATTTGAGATCTTTTAAAAATTGAAATTTTACACCAAACTTTTTTCTTTTACAAAAATACCCTCTATAGTAGTTGTTTGCGTTGTATTACATAATTTTTTACGTGAACACCAAAGTAGTGATGAAATATTCAATGAATATGAAAGTGATGATATGATTGTTGATGAAAATGATGAACAATCGACTCAAGGTAATAAAGTCATGTGTTTTGTCTACTTCACAATGTATGGAATTATGCTTGTTGCACTCACTCCAAACTACCACATTGCTCCAGTGTCATAGACACTACTTGTTATTTGTTGCAACGAAGATTCAATTGACTTGTAATACAAACGTATGTTAGTTTTGATAGTTTTTAAAACTTATGAGTATAAATCATATATTTCTAAAAAAGTGAAATATGTTTTCCAAATATTATAGTCAAACACATGGTGAAATTTTCACCCAAATAATATTATATAGCAAAGAAAGTCCAAATTGTCTTAACACATAAATGATGTAACAATACATTTAAACAAATTCCCATCAGTTGGAACTGCTCTTCCCCATCCTCAATTCTTCTAGTAAGGAAATCAAGCTATTGTCAGATGATCCGCCTTTCTCTACAGCCATTTTAGCCGAATTTCCTAAAGCATCTGCACGGCCACGCATCTCCTCTGCTTCCTGACCAACCATCAGTTTGGTCACTGCTCTTTGTATGTTTTCCCTGTTAATTGGGACTCTGCTATCTGTTCTTTGAGACCAAGCCTGAACACCTACTGGTACTCCTATCTTTAATATCTCTACTAGTAGCTTTTCATTAAAAAATTGCTCAGCTGATAGCGGCCATGTGACCATTGGCACTCCGGCACTAACTCCTTCGAGCAATGAGTTCCATCCACAGTGAGTCACAAAACCTCCCGTAGCTTCATGATCAAGGATAAGCACCTGAGGTGCCCATCCTTTTATTATCAAACCTCGTCCGTTCAGCTTTTCTTCAAATCCTTCTGGCATCCACTCTTCATGATTTGTTGTATTTTGCCTCACCACCCATATAAATTGGTGGTCTGATGCTTCGAGAGCGGTTGCTATCTCAAGCAACTGATCTGATGAAAAGATGGACATGCTTCCGAAACATATATAAATGACTGATTTTGGTTCCTTGCTATTGAGCCAATCCAGACACTTTTGCTCAGAAAAGGAACTGTCTTGGCCTCTTTGTGATTTATCTTCATTGTCTTTATTGCAGAGCGAAACAGGACCAACGTGCCACACTTTTCTCCCTACTACTTCCCTGAAGTGTTGAACATAATTTGGTTCTAGCTCATAAAAGCTGTTTACAATAGCTCCATAACTAGTCGTTTCTGCTCGCATAAAATCTTTAACTATTGCAGTCATTGGGGTTTCTTTTTCATCCTTCAAGTGTTCTGAAAGCTTTTGTCTTGACATCTTTATTGTGTCAGGAAGGCCAAGGATGATAAACTCTTCCATCTCGGATTCAACCTTCAAATGAGGTTTGTGTTCCATCAAACAGTGATAAGCACACATGGGAAGTAAACCAGTGCCATTAAAAGCTAGTCTTGGAATTCCCAGCTTGGCTGCAACATCAACAGCCCATGGGAATAAAGTTCCTGCTATTAGACAATCTGGATGATCTTCCTCCATGAACTTTTCAACTGGCTGTTGAAACAAGTACAAGGCTTTGATGAATTTTAGACTCATTTCTGAACTAGTAGTAGAAGCTAAGTTTTCACAGCCCTCTGGCAATCCAGCTTCTTTACAAGGGAATTCAGTTGTCCGGATGCTAATATCACTGCCAAGCTCTCTGTCTTTTTGGATTGTTTTTGAGAATTTAGTCGCGTTGAGAGGAGTCGTGATGATTGTTACCTTCACACCATGCCTGGAAAATTGCCTGGCCATGTCTACTAATGGTATCATGTGGCCTGGAGCCATCATTGGCAAAAAGTACACATGAAGTTGATCAGCTCTTTTATCCATAGTTTTGCTAAGATAAGTATGTAAAAAGAATGGTGTATTAGGAGTAGTTGTATTTCTAGCCTTTGCTCATCCTGTTTTTATAGTTAAACCAAGATTTTTAAAATGCTGTTTCTGGTTTTAGCTAATGTTTCATGCTGTATTTACTTGTCAAAAGTATGTAAGTTGTCATTGCTGACTATTCCCTACAATTAAATATGAGTGATCTGCAAGAAAAGTAGAATTTCTAAAGTTTATATGATTTTTTTTATGTCTAGATGGGATTGATCTTTGGCTTATTTTTCTAGTCGTCATGTGCAATTAGTTTCCAATGTTTTCTTCTTTGTCTGGCTGAGGTTTTAGAGAGTACTGATAGGTTTGAATTGTTTAATATAGTTGACTTGTTGCACAGACTTGATTGGATCAAATTAGACATTGTAAAATCATTTTACCAAACACACCATTTCCACTCGCAGAAAATCACGTTGGGAGCGCCATCCTAAATGGCCTCTACAATACGCAATTCGAATTTAGTTGAAGCTCCAATGCAAGCTCCAGACATCGGACGAATTTTTTTTTTTTAAAAAACTCGCTCCCTCCATGCACCAAACTATTTTAATTTATCATAATTAAGAGTATATATATACTAGGGGTTTACACAAATCGTGATTATGCTGAAGTAATAGAATTTTTTATAACACGATGGAAATTGAAAAAGTTTGAGGGGTTGACAGGTGAGGCGAGGCGTGCACAAGATTTTGGGAAGAGGCTCCTCTCCAGTGATGATCTCTTCAGTTCCCCCCAGTGCTATTTCATATAATTGACACGTGTTCATTTAATTTTTAATGGACCAAATTAATTTTCTTGACCAAATATCATTAACCATGGTTATTAGTAATTCTCTCTCCTCTAATTCCTTTCTCAACCACCAAAGAAACACTTCTTCCCCCTCCAAAACTCTCCGAAAAACAGAGCAATCAAACAATTGAAAATTAAAATTACATCAATATTTTAATGTTTTTACATTTACATATGAACAACTAGGGAGAGTCTCAAAAGAGAAAGACTGAAATGGAGTGATTAGCCCCAATTAAAGATTACAGTTATAAATACCACAAGAAAAGAAGACCCAAAAAATAAATGGAAAATTTCACAAGAAAAAAAAACCATATGAAAAAATATTTTCCTACCAATTTTTTGTGCCCTTTCCAGATCCTTTAGTTGGCTTTTGCAGAAACTCCAAATTGAAAAAATTGATGTTACGAAGAAGACAACAAAGTTTTGTGGATATGGGTGATGCCACATCCTTCAAATGGAGTATATGGGCAAATGTCATCGTCTATTTTTTCCTTGCCCTTATCACTGGATCCAAAGGTATTCACATAAGGAGACTGCAAAAATCTTTGAAGGCATTCTGTTACGTGGAGCTGGAGTCTTTGTATCAAGATTGTGTGCAGACTCCTTGACTGGAAGTTGGGTGGGTAGCTGGCTGTCAGATAGAAAATCATCACTATCAGTTAGCTGTAGAGGAATGATTACACTCAGTGGTGCGACATTAATTGGCTCGTTTGGAAGTTTGTAGACAATTGCATCTATGACTGCTTTAGTGCTAGATGAAATAGAAGCCGATGTGGTAGAATCCTACATGATATTAGGGAATTATAACAAAATATTACAATTTACATACGCAACTGTTGACATTTTTCAGTAAACAATTTAGAATCAGACCGATGTATCAACAATTATTGGATTTGAAGCATGTTTTTCAAAGTCTTGTTGAATTGTATTAGCAACATCTTCATCACCGCTCAATACTTTTGTGTGTAATTGGGGGTCTTCATTTCCTGCATCCTCCTAATAAACAGAATATTACACAGCATTTTGATTTTTTTTCAAAAATAATTGATTATAACAATTCAAAAACTCTTTACATACCAGTTCCTTATTATGAACAATCTCTTCTATCGAAACATTACTATGGTGTGTTGTGGGTATAACATTTGTTGAATCTCTCATAGCATGTTCCTTAATGGATGTCTCATCATTCTGTGTTTGTATATTAGTATATAAGAAAATATATCATAAAGTATCTGTTAATGGTGATTCATAAAAAAATATATAGTATCAACTAAGATTTTAGTGAATAATATACAGCCAATGATACACAAAAAGGCAACGTTTATTTCATTATATGAATTAAAATTACTAAAGTATCAATCTTATTAAATGATACATTGTTAATAATTTTAATCGACTTAACTAATGATTAAAAGACATTAAGTTATATAATTAAATTGAAGTATCATATACATGCCTTTGCAACATTTTCTTCGATAACATGTCGTTTTTCAACCTCCACAACAGATGCATCAACATCATGATCAACAGTTGCAAAATCCATTTGTATGGGTGAAATGGTTTGTTGGACGAATTGATCAGAAGTGGATTGTGGATCAACATTACCTTTGTCTACTGAATCATCCACTATATGTGGCATAGAAATGCCACCATTGTCCTTCATGATCCAAAAAATCAATATAACACAAAACTGAAAAGGGAAGCTAAAAAATAAAAATACTATCTTATCACTTTTGTTATCTTTCGCGCCAACTGCTTTCATCAACTCAAAATGATTTTTTATAATTAACGCCTCAAGAGATCCAATTTTTTTGTCAACCTAGATTCAAATTAAACATATTAAGTGGAATTAACAATAAACATGAAAATGTTTAAATGACATAGTTATGTTTACTTACATTAGACTTCATGTGACCCTTCAGTTCCTCAAGTCCTGCATTGTCCGAAATTGTTCTTCGAAAACTGTATTATGAGAAACACCAGATACATTATCGACTTGTGGCGGTTGTGAATCCGGAGTTTGAAATGGCTGATTCGGTTGCTCATCTGGTTGTGTGCCTTTGGGCACATTATTTTTTGTTGGATGTGCAATATTTCTTCTCTTGGGGGGGGGGGGGGGGTGGATCCTATGGTAGAAATTCATATGGATCTCCTTAACAGTTGCTCCGGAGGTTTTGATGAAAACTTTTCAAATCCAGGAACCTCATCTGGTTGCACCTCCTCATGATTAACATCTGATGTGGCTGGTTGAGTTGGAGGTACATGACTGTTATTTGGTAAATCAAGTGATCTGATTTCCTCTTGATTTGGCTGAACGTTAGAACAATCATTCTATAGAAACAAATATTAAAACATCATGAGAACCAATTAAATAATGTATCGCAAATAAAAAAAATAAAGTAAAAAAGGTTGTTATGTACTAATTACCTCAGTAAAGATGTTTTCCATAAACATCTCAAATTTAGGCTTTGAACCCACAACTTTCCAATTGCATACCTTTGGTATACCATTTCCTTCTTTAACAGCTATCTCGTTATGTATTACAGACGCACATTCATATACCCAAATATTAAGTACGTATGGAAATCCATTCAAGCGATACATTTGTTTGTTAGGTTTGTACTTTTTCCTAAATGATTTCATTAACTTTGTGAAGGCAAGTTGTCCCCACAAAAACTATTGATAGCTGCCATATTCTACCATTAAGAAATCTTCAATAGGAATTGGTGCATCACCAAGTTGCGAGAATACAAAGGTATGAATGAAATACAATATAGTCATCTGAATGGCATCATCAGTGTTGTCGCAACCACCCATATCAAAACGATCTACCAGTCATCCTTTGTTTACATTATAATTTGGACCAGGAAAGTATCTTTTAACCAGCCTACTAGTTTTTGAATCCTAATATGTAAAATCTTTAATATTTTCGGTACACTTCAAACCAGTAATAATAGCAAATTCTCTAATACTAAATTGCAATACATTTCCTTTGGCATGACGAATATGTATTTCTTTGTCTAAATTGCCATGCTCAACCTCTAGAAGATATAAACACTTGGTAATTTGTCCTTGGTAGTGGCACTTGGGGATATTAAGGTATTGGCCAAATGTATCCTTAAGTAATTTCATACCTTCATCGTTTATTGACAATACTAAGTTTTCATTAAAATTTGAGTTGTAAATAGGACCAAACTTTAGGGGTTGCTTTGGAATATGTTTAATTACATATTTCATATTATGCAATTCCATAAACATAAATGATGTTGATCAATCACTAAACCGATAAATGATGCATACAGAACTAAAAGGGAAAGGCCATATATTGATTCAAAATATTATGTTTCAGATCATTTTATACTACATAATAACAATACATGACTAATACACAAAATCATATAACTTGTGTATATACACTAACTTATATTTAAATATGATACAAAATGTTAACTACCAGATTTATTATATTCTGTTTACGTATCATTCATGTGAATATCTATGAATATGATACATTGTACAACAAACAACCTACATATCATACTGTGAATTGAACACCTATCTTAGTTACAGTTCTCAACACAAATTTTTTGACAAAAAATAGTCTTTCATCTACAAATGTAAAAGTTATACTCAATACCAACATTTGATAAAACAATCAGTGTTTCTGGGTAACAACTCCAGATTTCAATATATACAATAAAACTTTATTTTTCAACAATGTCTAAATTAAAAGCAAAAGAAATGCACACCATGGGTAGTGTTGGTCGAGAAATGGGAGGGGCAACCTTTCTATCCCTTTTCTTTTGAATTTTTGCATCCTTTGCTTTAGATGATGCCCCCACTTTCTTTTTCGATTTTCTCTTCATAGAAGTTTGATTTGCCATTAATGTCGGTGCATGCAAACTTTTAGACCTCTGTTCTGCCCAATTGGGGTCTTCTGAATCAAAAATTTGATCATTGTTAGGTGTTATTATTTGGGAAATCGAATATTAAAAGACGGATGATCCATTTTGACAACTGATCCAAAATCGATTGAAACACAAAAATTAATTTTGAAAGAAAAATGAAAAAGATGATAATACCTATTTTGAACTTTGGACGGTTGAATAGAGATAGAATCGTTTGAAAATCAAATTGCTTTGAATTCGATAACTAATTTGGTAGTGGGGAAAGATTAGAGGCGAGATTTTGGGGATGAGAAAGGTGGGTTTTGGGTTCTTTCAGAATAACGTATCCGGAATAGAGGGTTTGGGGAAAAATAGGAATTTTTGAATTTTTATGAAAGAGTAGGGATTAAACGAGAATATGTAAACATATGTAGTGTAGTTTAGTAATTTTGCCAAAAAAACAAACGCCTATTTTGGGAAGGAAGGAGTAAAATCTTACCATTTGACAAGTGCCTGCATTAACATCACAGACAGGATAATCATGTGGACAGCAATTGTTGTTGTCATCACAGCAGGTAGCAGACTCATAAGGACAACATCCCCAGCCAAAACAGTAGCCGCCATACTTATAAATGCAGCAGCAAGTAGTGCCCTCGGTGCAGTTATAGTACTTATCGCAAACGGTTGATGGTGCTACAGGACTAGGAGGAGATGGACCGGGATTAGAAGGATTTGCGCCATTCTTAAGAGGGTAAGAGGGCTCCATTGCAATTCCACACTTTCCACTAGTGCTATTAGCTAAATTGCGCTCGAGCCTAATGTATCCACTTTCTCCCCAGTTAGGACCCCATGAATTCCTCACAATCCAGTAATCTAAACCATTATCTGTTCCGTAGCCAACTGCAACTACACCATGGTCTAGTTGTGTTCCGCAGTATCCAGTGAAAACACCCTTCATGATTTGAAAAGGAAAAGAAAGTGTAAATGAGTATGGTAGTTTTTTTTAGTAGAAAAAACAAGGCGTTAGAAGCCGTGATTGCAGATTAGGCATATACTAGAATTGCAGGAACTAATCCAAAACTTAGAGTCAATAGGTTTAGGTACAGTCAATACTAGACTTGATCCGACCACATTCTAAAAGGGTACATTAAGAGAATTGTTCTCATACCGAAAAGTAATGCTGGAAAGCTCTGCCACCAGCTTCAATAGCAACACTAACTGTTTGATTTGACAATGCCTTCATCAATGGCTTCTCATCATTTATGGGAACAACTTCATATCCATCAATGGAGACAACCCGGGCATTTTTCTGAAAGACAAAAAATTGTTAGCAGACCATCAATACATGAGTAATATTTTGGATGTTTTCTAGAAAGTATGGTCTAACATACCCTGTTTGAATCACAAGTACCATATTTAGCACGGTAGGGATAGTCAGCCTCAGTGTCAATGCCACTGTTGTTTTTAATGAATTTAAAGGCGTAGTCCATGAGACCACCATTACAACCCTGGTTATAGCTCTTGTCACAATCAACAAGCTCTTGTTCAGAGAGGGAAATTAATTCACCGGTTACAATTTGATTTATTCCTTCAACAGCACCAACCGTCGAGAATGCCCAGCAACTCCCTTCATAAGAAAAATATACAACTTCAGTAGATATACATACGATATCTGACATGCTCAATCAACAAATTTATGAGCCAAGGTCAATCGAAAATAAATTATGTGTTTTCAAGTCTGTGTATATACTATCCTTTCCAAACCCCAATTATAACGGGTTTGTTGTTGACAAAATAGGTCAAACACAACATACAAATCAAAACTTTTGACCTAAATAAGACTCTTGTCAACACTCCATTGAAAGTAATCTTCCTCCAACAGAAAAAATACAAAAAAACTCACCGCATTGTCCTTAGTCTTTAACAGGGGCAACAGCGCCTTTCTGTCTCCAATCAACGGATTCCGGCAACTCTTCGCCGGACTTAAAAGCGTAACGTTCGCTTTTAGGGTTCTTCAACAGCCTCGTCTTTTTATCGAACCGTCCACCCACGAACACGGCACAGTACTCATCGTTGGTAAGGTCAGAAAATCGATTCAACCCAAGTTTATACGGTCTGGTCTCAGCGTTTTGCTCGTCGATGAATCTTAAATTATCCTTAAAAATCTCAAATCTTTTCTCCTTTTCTCCAATGGCATTGTAATTCTTTCCGTGTTTAACAATCCAAGATTCATCCAATCCGTTAACTTCATCGTCTGTACGATGATTTGTTGTCCCTAAATCTGCATGTTTTTCATCGTAACTGATGATGGACATGTCAAGAGCAGATGAAAGGACAAAAAATGTAAGAAGAAATAAGAACAAAGACCTGAAAAAAGTCATATTTTTTTATTTTCTTTGTTTTAATCTTCTTCTTGTTTGTTGTTTGGGTTATTGGAGAGAATGGTGAGAAGTCTTTATAGATAGAAACAGAGTTTACATTGGAGGAGGAAGAGAGGTAGAGAACAACTCAAACAAGAATATTGTGATTAATGGGTAAAAGTCCAGTTTGTGACTTGAGATCGATAGGCGATGACGGCGGCAAGTTGTGGGAAATGCATCTGTGCAGCAGTATTATCATATACTGCACCATTCACCAGGGCTGGTATTTAGGTTTTATCAGGATATAAGCAAGCTTGGTCGCCCTGAAGATGATGGCTCCATGAGCATTACGTCCACAATGCAAGCCATCAATGATAAGATACTGTCACTTAACTATGCGGACTTCAGAGTAGAGATTAAGTCTGTGGATTCCCAAGAATCCTTCAATGGGGGAGTGCACGTCCTTGTTACTGGATATTTGACTGGGAAAGACAACTTGATCCGAAATTTCTCTCACACTTTCTTCCTGGCTCCGCAAGACCGAGGGTACTTTGTTTTGAATGATATGTGGAGATTGCCAATCAACAAGATGCTGTACAAGTTCCAGAAACTGATGTGTTGGTCTCCTGTTACTCCAGAGCAAATTGTTGCAGATCCCCCTCCAGCTCAGGAGAATCACATTTCTGAGCAGAGCACACCATCTGCTGAGGAAGCTAATGGGGGAGAAGTTCACAATCCTCTTGAGAATGATAGTGTGCCTGTTGTGATAGAGGAAGTGCAAGGTGACTCGAAAATGGTAGCTGAAACTAACATCATAATTGAAGAAGTCCCAAAGAAGTCTTATGCTTCAATTGTCATGCATCTAAAGGAAAGTGCTGCAACTTTCTCCCCTCCTCCAGCTCCTGCTCCTAGGAAGATTGTGCCTAAGAATGTTGAGCAAATGAGATAACCTCTTGCACCAGCACCAGCTGATAGACTTGTTTTAAGCTTAGACTTTGTTGATAATGTGAATAACCAAGAGGGAGAAGCTGATGGACACTCCATCTACATCAAAGGTCTACCTATGAGTGCCACCGCCGCCATGCTTGAAGATGAGTTCAAGAAGTTTGGACCTATAAAGAATGGAGGCATTCAAGTCCGAAGTAACAGACAACAGGGATTTTGTTTTGGCTTTGTGGAATTTTAGGTGGAAACTGCTGTGCAAAAAGCAATTGAGGCTTCTCCAATTTTAATTGGTGGACGCCAAGCTGCCGTTGAAGAGAAGATGTCTACCGGTTCTCGAGGTAACACTAGGGGTAGATATCCATCTGGAAGGGGTAATGGATTCAGGAATGATGGAGTACGTGGGCGAGGAAAC